CATGGGAGGTGTTTGCGTGGACTGGCAGCTGGAGAGGGCTGGGATGATCTGGGTGACTGAGAGCTGGACCCTCCCCAGTCCTGCTCAGCAGGTAACAAAGGAGGGGAACAGGAAGCAAACAAGATCTCGGGAGGGATATAATTGGCCGTGCTAATCTTTGGTTTAGGGTTTCTTGCTTTGCTGCTTTTCCCTAGCAGACCTCAGCCCCTTCTCCACTGAGTGTTGGTTTGAAGGGGCCTGTAACTCAAGAGAACAAGGGAACCTGTGCAGGCGCTGCCTTGGCCTCCAAGGGGGAGCCAGGTGACAAGATTTAAACTGAAATGTTGTATGGGGCCAAAGAAGAGATTCAAGCAGCTCTGGTCTCTTTGCAGTTCAGGCTGGACTATGTAATTTGGACCTTTTCACTGCCTGGATCGTCCCTGCCGGGCAGCAGGTCAGATTACGAGGAGAGATACCAATCGATCCTGCCATCCGCCAACACTTCCCTCCCCGGTCCCTCTCCTGGACAGCCAGTGCAGCCCTGCAGCTTTTGAGCCATTGTGATTGAGGTCTGGTCACGTCCCTGTGTGACCTTGGAGAGGTCATTTTTTTTGCTGATGTCCCAGTCTTTTGTCTGCAAAACGTGGAGGATGATTTGGTTACAACTTCACGGGTCAAAAGCCAGAACAAATCAGCTGGTGTCTTCCTGTGGCAGTGTGGATGAGCCCCATGTCCCACTGGGAGCAGCCGAGGAGCTGGCTGCCATCCCTGTGCTTGTACCTGTGCGTGCACAGCCCTCTCCCAGCCCACTGGTCAGTGTGCTTCACCACTCAGTGTGCTGTGGTGGCTGGCAGGTGCCATAAAGCACTCTGAGGTGGGTTTTCCCCATTTGGAGAGCAGAAGGGTAATGGGAGGTGGGGGGCCAGCAGGGAGCTGGTTCCTGCTGGCACTCGGCCTGTGGCCACGGCTCCTCGGCAGTTATGGCTGCAGGTTGCTGTAATAACGAGTCAGCGTTTCTCTTGCGTCAGGGACAATGAGCTGCTGCTCTTCAGCCGCTGCCTCGCAGGCCCTGTCAGGAGGAAGCACTGTCCGTACTGGAAAAGGGGGTGGTGGAGGACCCTTCCCAGCTGTAGCTCCTGAGCTGGGAGAAGACAGGCTTATTGTGCCGGTGTTTGGATTCAGCGCTGTGAGCGTGGCTGGTGGAGGAGCATGGTTGGTGCATGTTTCCTCAGGGGGCAGCGGAGGGGAGATGGGGGCTCATAAATGGGGTGACTCTTTTGGACCTGTCCCAGATACCTGAATAGCAGTAGTAGGCAAATAGCCCCTGGGGAAGGGGGTATGTGTGTGGATGCATCAGCTTTTCTCTTTAAATGCCCCATTTTAGCATACGGTCTTCTTTGTGTAAAAATATCATCAGGAAAAATTGAAATTGAGTTCCACCCCCAGCACCACCTAAAATAAGGACGACTGCCCTCAATTTGGTAATATCTCCTGGGCTCTGTGTGCAGCAACTCTGGGTGTTGGTGCTGAGAGCAATCCCTCCTGTACCATGTCTGCACCCTCATGTGATGGTTCTGAAAGGGATGCTCCATCCCATCATCCTGCCAGCTGCCATGTACACCCCTGACCTCCTCCCCCTCACTCTCCTCCACCCTGCTTTGCTAATGAAAGAGTCACAGAATGTGTTTTTCTGTTGAGATGTTGCAGAATATATGAATTCTGTACAGGGCTGAGGAGAATGGTCAGTGGCTTGGGAAATACCTGGCTCTGCATAGTCTGGTGCTGCGGTGAAGAGATCACTGGTTCCCGTGGTGACTACAGTCCCTTTGTTCAGACACCAGGACTTTCTCATTTTCGGTGCGTGCTGAGAAACAAAAGTGTCGGCGTGCAAGAAAGAGAAGGAAACGTGAGACCATAGAGTCCAAATTTCATGGGTCTGCATTTGCATTTCGATACTGTTATTTCTTGCTCCTTCCCACTGGGCTGCCTGGAGGCATGGCTGGGCATGGCTGGGAGGGCGTTGTGTGGGCAGGAGCAGGACTGCCTGGGTCCCATGTAGGGATTGCCTGCTGCTGAGCAGGTGGCAGATGGGATGATGGAGAGCTGCTGTGAAGCATTGTCCTGCAGCATCTGGCCAGTGTTGGGATACCTGGCATCAGGGTGCCTTGGGAGGTAGGTGTGTGTGGTGGAAGGAATTGGTGGGGCTGGTTTGCTGGATTTACCTTTTTATGTTGGGACCTTGAGCAAAAAAACCATCTCTGTGCCTCAGTCTTTTGTGTTTGAGTTTTAGCTTTGGGGGGGCTTGAAAGGGAGCTGACCTGGATGGGCAGCTTCAGTCCTGCAGTGTATGAGATGGACTCCTTGGAGAGCAGCCCAGGGTTTTACCTGCTGGCCATACGTTTCTGTCTGCTTCCTTACCATGGCTTTCTTGGGAAAAGAAAGCACTACCTGATTTAGACTTCTCTTGGGCACCTGAGGTGCTGCCCTTAATTGGCAGGCTAATTTTTAATTTAAGTCACTTGTGCTTGCAGGCAGAAAAGGTGTCCCAAAGGGTCGCTGTGCCTGCCGGTCCCTGACCAGCCCTGCTTCAGATGTGTCCTCCCAGCAGCCCCATTTTTCAAAGCAAGTCCCACAGACTGATTTCTCTGTGCTCGTTCACAGCTCTGGGGAAAGCTGCCTGCAAGCCCAGTGTTCTCAGTCTGCTCTGGTGAGCTTGGAGTCAAGTCTGCGTTAGTCAGAGGTGTGATGAGTTGGACAAGGTCAGCCTCTCCCAGAAAAGGGGACTGAGCACTGGATGTGTTTTTCTTAGACAGGAGTTGCCCTGGCAAACTTCTTGAGGTGAATGTGAGCTGTATCTGCCCTTGGCCATTACATGTGGTCCTTGCTTCCTACAGCCACTGAGTAGAGTCACTGCTTTTCTAGTAAATGTAGTGGCAGAGCTGCTCTAGAGTTGTGGCTGAGCTCAGGAGGAGCCAGGAGAGCCTTGCTGCACATCTAGAGCAGGACAGGGCAGTGGGGAATACAGCAGTGAGCTGAGACGAGACCTTGAGGGAGGGAGTGGGAGTTTGGAGTTGGGGTGGTGACACGTCTGATAGGAGATGTTGCTGAGGGGTCACCTGCAGCTGCTGCCTGATTTGGTGGCATTTGTGGTGTCTAGAGCCTGGATGTGTAGTGAATGGCTGGTTCTGCTGTGGTGTGTGTTTGATGAAGAGTTGGTGGGACAGCCTGAGAGGAATGCAGACTGGAGAGCTGCATCCCTCAGGGTACAGCAAGGGGAACATTTGCCAAAGCCTGGCTTTGTTAAATTCCTGTCTGGCACAAAGGAAGTTATTTTATCAACCACTGTGGTGGTGGTATTTATTTTTGTTTTTGGTAACATCTGGTACAGCTGATCCAGCTGGGAGGATACCAGTGTTACACCTTGTTCCTTTGCAGGGAATCCCTGTTAGGGAAATAAATTATATCTTGTTTGAGATCTTAAAGGTCTTTTCAAACCTTAACGATTTTATGATTCTGTGAAGATGTTTCAGCTTGCTGATATAGAACTCCTAACCCCTAAACTCCTCAGTGACTACAGATGTTTAAATGCATTTGGGATTGGTGCAGGATTCCAATAGAACATGCAGCTTGCAAAGGATCCAAACTGGTGCTTGGAAACTGTTCTGGATGTGCTGGGCTGTCCTTGATACCATGCCTTCAAATGCCCACAGACCATAACTGTAATAATGGTCGAGTGAGTCCTGATTTAACTTCTGGGTATTTTTGCTCCCCTTTGCTCTTCCCATTTGTCTGTGGGATGAAAGCATCCCTGCCTGAGAATGCTTTCAACATGGTGCAAGAGAAAGGAAGAGAAATAGAAGTAATTTTGGCAGAGGGGTATTTTTGCATGAGCCGAGCCCAGGCCAGAGAGCATTGCCCTGCCTGAGGGGTAGTCCTTGCTGCAACTCTTGCAACTTTCCAGCTGAATGTGTGTTTTGGGTAGCTGATAAGCAAGAGCCAGGGGCCTGTCCCAGGAGGACCTTGCCTTGCTGGCAGCCTTCCTTCCCTCTCCTCTTCCAGGATCCTTGAAGAAAATATAATGTATTACTCTCTGAAAAGTGCTGTTTTCATATCTTCTGGAGGGAGCCTTTATCAACAGGGGTTTTCCACACACACTGTTCTGTGTGCTCCTTAAATGAAAAGTCTGGTCCTTCCAGCTACTTAACATCTTCCATATGGCCCTCCAAGAGAAGGGCCTGTTCCTGTAACTGGAAACAGCCTGGGGGGCTGGGGACGTTGAATAATCTGCTTTGGGGTCTGAACCCCCCAGAATCCATCTGTCCTGTGCAGTGGCCTGTGCCTGCTGACAGAGACTCCTGAGCTGGGAAAGGGAAATTATTCTCCTGGTGTGATGGGTGATGTGCCAAGGCCCTGGGTGCCCATTTGATGATGGGTGTGTGTGTCTGGTGTAGGTGCTGTGTTAAAGCCAGGCACAGCTGCTGATGTTGCTCGTGCCTGCAAAACCAAGGACAATCAGAAGAATGCTTGCTTGGCTTTTGCCTTGGCTTCCACCTTGGCTTCCCTCGTGCCTGCAAAACCAAGGACAATCAGAAGAATGCTCACTTGGCTTTTGCCTTGGCTTCCACCTGTGCTGCCTGTTAGATGTTCTCTGTACATTTCCATCTGATCTTGCTGTTCAGGGGGAGTGTGGGGTGCCACCAAGTAGCTCATTGTGTGGCTCTTTGTACATCTCAACAGCGTTTTTTAGTGTGCACTGCTGTCTGCTAGAAGCCAACACAGAAGGTTATTTATGAGAGCAGCGCATTCTGGTAAACATAGACTCCTTCAAAATCTTTTGCACAGCAAGTGGTTGAATTGAGGTGGGTTCCAAGCTGGATTGATGTTTAACTTGAGATACTAAGAAAATACTTCCTCTGTTTAGCTAAAGCAAACAAATTGAGAGAGGAGACCTTTTAAATAATGATTTGCACTCCAGCTGCAACCAATACTGATTTTTTTTTACTTTTTTTTTTCTTTTACAGATATATTTCCAACTGACGGCCAGTCTGGTATGTATTAAATAAAAATGGAGTTCTTCAAACCTCCTTCTCCCTTGCCTTCCCTGAACTTCTCTTCCTTTAGAGTCAGCACTAACCACACTTAGAGGACTCATACCTGCAATGCAGTCTGGAATATGCAATGGACATTAATGTAAAAAAATCCAAAACCAAACCACAAACAAAACCCTAAAAAAAACCCCACCCAAAAACCAAACATCTACTATTTGGTTGTTCCTGTATAGCAGTGACATCTTTTATGCTTTCATGTAGTGATGACTAAACAGCTGGAAGGTTCTTTCCTCCCATTCATTGTAGCATATTTGGACATTTGGATGTCCGGGGTGAAAGAGTTTGGGAACTTGTAGGTCTTGGTCATCACACATAATTGAAAACACTGACATTCAAGATGCAAATGTAACTGAGATTGTTGTTGTTTATGTGTTACCTGTATACAGATGGATGTGTCTATGAACCTGAGGATATATATTTGAATTTGCAATACTTTGGGAAGACACAGACCTCTCCTGTGGCTTGTAGTCTGTATGTTGCTGTTGAGTATTGCTGTTAAGGACTACTCACTGTGTTGCAATCAGTGCAAAGAAAAAACTTCCTGGCCCCAGTGGCATGTGCAGCCTTGCTGGGAGAGGGAGGTTGCTCTGGATGGAGGTTTCAAATCAGGAAAGGAATGTAGTTTTCAGAAGCAGATATTGATTATATCAATTCCTGCCTTTCCCAAATTGCCAGAAGCTCCTCATCCAGGCTGATGTTGTGGAAGTGCCAAGACTGAAGGAAAGGTTTGTGTTTTAACCAGTGATAATAAGATCAGTCAGTGAGAGCCTGTTATCTCCGAGAGCCATGTGGGGATGTGCCACAGCAAAGGCACTGGGAATGGAAGTCAGTGCCTGACTTGGTCTTGTGTTACCCCAGGCATGTCACAGTGTCCACCTCTGATGTCCACCTTTGGCTTTGCATGGGGTCCCATTTCACCAGTTCATGGATAGCGTGAGGGTAAATCGCTGTTGGCGGTGGAGGCATTGGAGGTATGGAAGTCAGCTCTGGTGTCTTAAAGCTGATTTCAGTAAGAATAACTCACTGGTGTAGAGTGGTCTGGTGTAACATTGGAGGCACTATAATTCAGCTTGCTGAACTGAACAGAGGTGTGGAAGTTGTGCATGTATTTCCAGAGCTCTAGCCAGCTAGCAATGCTGTGATGTTCAACTAGATGCATTGGATTAAGATTTTGATTCCACATTTGTAAGTCTCTCATTATTTTCTTGCTTTCTTGATGTGTCAGAGTGAAATATCAGGATTTTGAAGAGCAAAGGTATACGCCCATCTGTTGAATTTGTGGGAGGCTTTTCTCCACCTTGCTGAAGATTTGTGTTCTTTGGGTATTGGGTTTTGTCTGCCTGTGCTGTGAACTCAGAGATGTCCTTTGCTTGGCACTGCTCCATCCTCTGTTCTCCAGCTGGTTGGGGACCTTGCACAGCTGCCTCCAGGGTGGAGCATGAGTGCGTGTCTGCAGCAGATGATAGCGCTTCAGAAAGTGTTTGTTACATGTCAGCGGTATTGCAGAAAACATTACCTACAGAGCTTTGAGCTTTTTTCACAATTCTGTATGTTTCTTAGGAGATAAGTTAAAGCTTAAACAGGATTCCTCTAAATGGTGGCCGCACAGGACACTGTGCAGTCTTTCTCATACCTTTTTCTAGAAAAGCTGGTGCCGTGCTTTTTCTTCCCATGCATTAAGCTTATCTGGAAGCCCTGGTATCTCAAAACACAGTGAAGTGTGAAGGCAGCAGGCACAGGCAGACTGGCATTGCTCCTGTCACTAGAACTGTAGTGCACTCCTGAGACTGTTGGGTTTGACTCCCTCATCTCCTTTTCATTGCTGAGGTATTGAATGAGTTGATATACTCTGGTCATCAGAGCATCCCATGTGGCAGGGATCTATTTTTTAAGCTTAATCTTGGGAAGTCAGGTGGGTCTATATGGCTGGTTTTCCTGCTGAGTGAGAAGTCTGTTGGTCTTCTCCCAAGGAAATGGTTAGCAGAGTGGTAGAAGATGCCGAGTTGCTGTTTCAGGGTTGGGAATTGCATAGGTGGGGTGCCTGAGCCAAAATTCAGCCATTTTGTAGGCACAGTAGCTGTAGCTTGCCCCAGAGCATGTTCCTGCTTGTTAGCATAAGGATGCTGGCAGCAGCCTGGATCCTCAGCCTGGATCATCCCCATGTCACGTGCCAGTGCTATGGAGGTGGAGGCACACCAGTGTCCCAGTTACCTAATAGTGTTTGCAAATAAAGCAGTTGTTGGAGAGAGGCCTCACTTTCCTTCTGTCTGGCACAGCAGTGCCTCAGTCCTCTCCCACGTCCCACAGCCAGGATTTGGCAGCTGTAGGGTGCTTTGCAGAAGAAGCCATTTCAAACCATTGGGTGGAAAGCTGAGAGACTTCAACACCCTTGAGAGACACAGGGTTGGGCTTGGTGGGCTGAGGGACACACTCACATTCCCACTTCTGCTGCTGAAGAGGACTGGGGGGGCACATTTGCAGCCATATGTCTGTGGACAACTTCACTGTGAACACCAAACTCTTCTGTCAGACAGCTGATGCTGTTCAGCTCCCAGGACTTGATACGATGTGAAATTTGCTGCCTGCTCTGGCAGGGAATACTTCTGTCACTTCAAGTTGATCTCCTGCTAGGTTAGTGTGCTGTGCCTGTGCCCTCCTGGCCTCCTACATGCTGCAGCCAGCCCTCCTCCTCTCTGTGGTGGAGGATCCCAGCCTTTTTAGTCTCACCTCTTGAGGAGCTGCCTCTGGGTGGTTTAATTGCTTTTCTTTGAGCAGCTGTAACAGCCCTGTGCCCTTGTTGAAGCTGACTGCAGGGTACAGTTGTGGATGCGCTGGTGTTCAACAGGGCAGCAATTGATGCTCTGTCTTGGTTTCACCACTCCTGATGACTTTTTTTCATCTGCTGCACCCTGACCTGATCATTTTGTACAATGTCAGCAGTGTCTGAGATATCTTTCTTGAGTTTATAAATGCCTCTTTGAATTAAACGCTGTGAAGTTTTCCATAAAGAGATGAGGGTGGTGCTACCACTGTAAGGGAGTGGGTTTTAATCCTTTAGAAATAAAATGAGGGGAGATGGATCTTTAAATTAGAAAACTGCTATGTTGCACTATTTTGTAATTGGGTATTCCTGAGTCCTTTGAGAAGACTTAGTCTGATTAGGGTGTTGTACTCTTTTATGCTCTATATTGACATGAGAGGCAGCCACCTGTAGCACTGGAATTAGATTTATTAGAGAGAGTGGTTCATGCAGCAGGATTTATGTGATTGTGAACCCAGGAAGGAAGTTGTTATATCAGAGGTATTTAGAAAAACCTGGAATGTCACTGCATCTTGCTTAAATTTGGGGCGATAAGTGAGGATGGTGTATCTTCTGCTGGAAAAGCATGCCCTGAAATCAGCTCAGCTGAGGTGCAGTAATACTGAAGTAGCACAAAAAGAAGCACTTCTGCTTGCTCTCAAAGATCACAGGGATGTTTGAGTGCCTTGTCATGGCTTTAATGCTCTGGATTCACCAACAGGAGGAAGCCCCCATACCTGTGCTCAGTTTAATCCAGGTGGTTATGATTTCTTCAGCGTATTTGTGGAGACACCCTGCTTAGTGGGAGACCTAGGTATGACCTCCCTGAATTCCTGAGAAAGTTTGCTGCTCCTGCTCCTACCACCAAAGCACTGTTACTTTCCTCTGCCCCAGGAGATGGATTTCTTCATGGTGCTGGCTTTGTCTTCCTTGACCTCACAAGCTGAGCTGTTGCTCAGTCTCTTCTTGTTCTGTGCAGTCAGGGAGGCGGATTTGCAGCTATGCAGGCTGAGGGCAAGGTTAAGTGGTCACTTAGCAAGTGGCCACTGCTCAGGGGACACTCTGGTCCTGCAGGGGTGCCTCTGCAAAAGTAGCCAGGAAGGTACAGGAATGGCAGCAGGAGGAACTCTGAATGTTGTTATTTGAATTATGTCACAGTCTCCTTTCTGGAAACCCATTCTATTCTTTGAGATGACAGGTTTTCCAGAGGCATATTTTGTGCAGAGTTTGCACTTTTGCCTTGTACGACCCTTCTCCCCCTCCACTGGCACAGTGGGAGCTGCACAGTCTCCTCCTAGACAGTGTGAACGCTTGGAGCTGGAGGGTCTCTCTGCAGGCGCTTGGCTCTCGATTCCTGTCTTTTCGTTGTTAAATATTTACAGTGAGACGTACCAGATGCTTCCCAGGAAGGGTTTTGTCAGCTTCCAAGTCCCCAGATGCAGCTGCAGAAGAGGCTGACGGCCATTAAATGGGATCGTGTCAGCACGGGTTCGGCAGGGATGCAGTGACCTCCTCTCACTCGTGCCAGGAGTGCCGCTGGCTGCGCTGTCTCGTCAGCCACAGCAGGATCCAGGCAGAGAGCACCCTTCTGCTAATGTCAAGAGATTAATGACGCCTGGTCCTCAGGCTTTTTGTTTTTCTTCTGCTTTGAAGCTCTTTCACTGCAAAGGGAGCAGGTGATGCTCTTGGGTTTTGTTGTTCCTTTTTTCCAGGGCCATCTCTCTGCAGCTCCCACTTGGTTCTCAGCACAGCGGTGTCTGTCTTGGTCACCAGCTGTCCTGAGGAGAGGGGTAGACTGATCCAGGGGGGCAAACTCCTGTCACCAACTCTAGGCATCACCAGCCCTGGGCATGGAGAATAAGCAGCTGGAGCGTGGCTGCTGAATGTTGGTCACGCTGGTCAGGTTCCCAGTGTGCCTCCTGCTTTCAAGATAAGGTCCAGGACCTTGGGCTAGGCCCCTGTGTGTTGCTCTTGGTGCTTATCAGCTTTTGCTGCTGACAAGGTGACCTGCTGCAGAGCACTGAGGATGGGGAGGGAGGGTCCCCCCAGCCCAGGCTGTGTGCTGCTGTGGCCCCTCCACCCGGGATAAGCCTGGATGTGCACACAGGGCTTGCTCCATGCCTGGTGTCCCTGGTTTAAG